CTCCTGAGGAAGCTACTCTGTAATGAAACGCGTTGAGGAAAGGAGCTTCAGATTCCAAACTACGTCTGAAAAACTGTGTCATTTTTCCATGCTGATTATTTTATGACAGGAAACTGTTATGTGATGTGAATACAATACACTGTTGAACCATTGTTGTACCATTTTCAGCCTGTGGTACATCCTTGACACCCAGTAGTCCATGGATATGATTTATTGTAAGCATTTTAGTTGGAGCTTTGCCATCTTTGCCCATTTGCTTATCCAGGGCAGGGATGGCATTACAAGAAAACAATATTCAAAATTTAAAAAACTAAAATATTGAAAATGAAAACAAAATTTAATTCTGCAAATAATATTTAACAAAAAATATTAAAAATAGTGATGGCAGGTGGGAAATGCTAATGTGGGACTTCCCAAGCCATGAACTAAAGGAAGGGCATGTTTTTGTCAGCTGGTATGGAAGCAGAAAACATGCAAGCTGGCATTCAAGCATGGGGAATGTTGGAGGGTGAGAAATTGTTTTCTTCTACTCCAGCACAAACCTGGCATAGGAAAGTTGTTGCTGGAGATGGTGGGGTGGGTGTTGGTGAGTTCTGCTTTGAGATTCAAAGTTTCATTCTGCAGAAGTGCAGGCAGCCTATGACCGTAGGACTGTAAAACATTATTGAAATAAGTCTTCTACCAAATGTGGTGGCCTCAAATATTCTGATTGGGCCTTCCTTCCCAGTTGCCAATATTTTGTTTCCAGATGGATAAAGACCACTGGTCCCTTCAGTTCTCTGCAAGCTGCCCCAGGACAAAATCCTCCTTCAATTCTGTTGATGCTTCTTCCTCAGAACTTTCCTTCTCTCCAGTTGATGGCAACCACGGATGGTCTAATACATCATCATCCACCCCCTCCTCATCACTGGAGCCAACTTGCCAGTAAGCTCCAGCTGCTGGGATATTACTTTTTGCTCCCTGTCTGATGTCCCTTTCCCTTATGGTTATGGGGCTATCTTCCTTGTTCTCAATATCTGGAAGTGCAAATGCTTGCACTTGACCAAAATAATCTTCCTGTAGCAAGTCAGAGATTGTGTGGACAAATAATTCCACTAATTCCTCATTGCCAGCTTGCAGGACTATGGTGGGATTATAAGATGAAGAGGTGGAAAAAGGAAGTAGGTGTATTATCAGTAGTTGCAGTCAACTAGCTGCTCTGTGCCTAGAAGGAAGAAGCAGAGAAAGGCTTAATCAGCAACTCAGCTACCTCCTTTGTGTCCCCTGTCTACATAGCATAGCCACTCTGTGAGATAAAAGGCAACCATGCCCCACCTTTAAATGGTAGCCTCCACATGCAGAATTGTCTATCAGTTTATACACTTACATTTTATGTCAAGATAAAACCTGGCTTTTCTGTTTCTAGTCCCTGCATATTTAAATGCTCATGCACTGTCCTGATACTGGTCAATTTCTACCAAACAGATACCTGAAGTCTATGTTTTGAATTTTTGGGAAGAGACAGAGTTTGGGAAATGTGGGGTTCTGGTTTTGAAGTGTTGATGAGCACTCTGTTTTGATGGTTTATTAAGCTTTTAAGACAATGCTGTGTTGTATTGCAAAAAAAAGAAACGTAGAAATTGTACCATTAGAAAAGTTGAGGTTTTTAGCCTTATCTTTTTGAGAGTAAGTTTTCCTATCGCTTTTAAATCTGTTGTGGCTTCTACTTTCAATCTTTCAATTCCAATCCGTTCAGGTTTATGCCTGCTTAAAAAAAAAAGGTGCTGTGCGACCTAAAAAGCCTTGACAGTTAAACATTAAAAATAAGAAAAACCAGAGCATGGTGTCACTGATGCTACCTGTGAAAATCTGTACTGTTCCATAACATCATGCAGCCTAAAGGCATCTACCAAGCATGCAATTTAAAAGATTTGTGTTCTTTCCATGTCACCCTCAAAGTCACAACTAATGGACCCTTTTCCTGCTGCGCAGTATTTTTAGAAAATGTTTTTGCTTTGTTGATTGTCCCCCATAGCAGTGCACAGATATCTATACCTTGCCTTGAAAATGGCATGATTTAATATCAAGTTTTATCCCCCATATGCTATGGAGTTTGCTACTAAGTCTGAGTTTGGCAAATTTTAAACAAGATTCAACAAATCCCCTGCAAATTGAACCTGGACAGATTCACTCATCCCTACATAACAATAATGTATTGTTGGATTTGATCTGAGTATGTATCTGCTTCAGATAGGTGAGTATAATGTTGTACCTGACTGTTAAAGGAGAAGTACTGGGAGAGTAACATACCCAATACTTAGAGCTGGCTTGTTACACATCAGTAAACGTACTTCTTTGACCCAAAAGTGGACTAAAGCCAAAAAAAAAAGGTTTGGCTTTAGTTCTCTGTTAAGCAATGTGCAGACATGAGATTGCTTGGACATGCTGGGAGTGGGTTAATGGAACATTGTTTTTTTTTTGCTAACAGATGTCCTCTCTTCATAAATTAAATGTGGCAAAAAAATGTAATATTCAGTATCTGTCAATTCTGCTTGCAGCTAAACATGTCTGTATGCATTTACACTAGCATGAATATTTGACTAGGTTTGCGTATTGCATTAAGGGAATTTGTACTACAGAAGCAGTTAGATGGTTACATTTACAAACTGTGGCCCACACTACTGTGCCTTTCTTCCTGACACCTTTTGTTTAAGCCTCATGAGAGCATAATATGAAAGTCTATCAGGTTTTTATATTTCTGTCTCCTTGTTCTTTTTAGGCACTTCTTGTTCAAGACATCGTCTGGAACAACTCCTTTATTCAGCAGTTCTTCTCCTGGATATCCACTGACATCAGGAACAGTATACACACCTCCTCAAAGGCTGCTACCCAGAAACACTTTCTCCAGAAATGCCTTCAAACTGAAGAAGCCGTCCAAGTATTGCAGCTGGAAATGTGCAGCTTTATCGGCCATAGCTGCAGCAGTACTTCTCGCTATTCTCCTCGCTTATTTCATTGGTAATTTTATTTTTATTTTATCTATTTACTGATAGCATTACAGCAATTTGGTTCATTTGATTATTTTGATGTTATTTGATATTGCACTCCCTAAGGTGTGTTTTGGCTTGGTGCCAGGAGGTCATTGATATAATGTTTATAAATGTTTTAATTTAAATGACTGTTTTTATATATTTTCTGTCTGAGAGCTGCTAACCCTCTCAATCTATGCATAGAGTTGCTAACATAGGCTCTCCGCTAGCATTCACAATGGGGTGTTTTATGAAATGTTACCAAGATATAGGGTTCAGCAAAGGACATGAATTAGACCTACATTAAGTTGTAAATATTCCCTATTATAGCTTTCTTTTCTTGATCTAAAAGACAACTGTCTATCATTCAACTAATCAATAGAAGCTTTTGTTGAATTCCAGTATGAACTGTTAAAAAAAATAGTGGAAATACAAGGCATACAATTCTCCAACTGATAATACAAAAAACAAGTATTAGGATGTGTGGGAATCTCTTGTAGATGATAACGTCTGTGTTTATGAGCCTACCATAGAAAAAAAAACACTGTTCTCTAAAAAAGTGTTACCAATGTCAGGGTCAGCATTTGATTGTACTACAGATAAAAACTTTTTTGTAAATGTACAGAGCATTATTTTTGGAGGAAATAAAACATCAAGACCTCATTATAGCTGTGCATATTGTTGGGTGTTTATTTTTCTGTCTATAATATGTGATAGATTATGATAAAAATTAAAATAAACACCCAACAATAGATGGTTTAAAGTTTATTCATTTATTTAGTTTAATAACAATCACAACACAACTATCACCACCTTAAAACTTCCATCCTCACTTTTATTATTTTTTCATCAATTTATTATTTTTCACAATCACTATATTTACCAAGGATATAAATTATCACAGTATTTAGATATACACGAGGAAACGATCATTAGGTGGAACAAATAACACCAAGCGCAACATACTAGCCTTCACTGATCACTATTTATACACATTGTTGCACCTGGTGACTAGGTATATTTTATCCTAGCACAACTAAATTGGTTTGATTATTATCACTATATTACTGTCTGTGCTGACAAATGTAAAGCTCTTTAACACATTCACACAGTGTAACTTAGATTGTCCCTACAGTATAAAGCTGGCCATACACCTTACAATTATCTGCAGATTTTCTGTGGTCAGATGGAAAAGGTGCAACAGATTCCTCCATCTACACTTAACTGTGTGGATGGAGTCATCCCCAACTGGGCCAATCTGTTGCACTTTTACCAGAAAATCTGCAGATAATTGTAAGGTGTATGGGCACCTTTAGTGTTAGAAATGTGAACAACATGTTATTGAAGTGTGTAATATGTAGACTTGTTGTACTGCACCAATAAAGGGAACAATTTAATTAGCATTTATTAGAAAAGATTAAAAGCATTAATGTGCTCATCTGAAAGTCATGAATAAGAACATACTGAATGAACTGGGCAAGGCAAACCTGAATTTAAATATTGCAGTACAACTATGCAAACTTTTAGGACTGAACGTTAACATTCAGTACAATGAGCAACAAGAGGGCGTCCTGTTATTTTTCACAAGTGAGTTCCTGGGAAAAGGCCCATTTTTCCCACCTGATATTACATTTATCATTCTGAGTTACCCTTTTATCATTTTCAAGCAATGGATTGGAATGGTTAATGGCAGCTGATACATGAAAAAAATGTTTGCAGAACTTTCTGGCTAGAATCTGTAATCTTACTATTTAATCAAATATGTGGTTGCTTCTATTGTTTATAGCACTATTTCTCATAATTGTATGCATGCCAAGACATGCTAGCTAAAATAATTCCTTTTTTAGATAATTCTCCATTATTAAAATATATTGGAGAGTTGTATTTATTTCTTTTATTACAACTTCCCACAAATACCATACATTCATTTAAATTTGTTAAGATTTTAAGTGACTTTTATCTTTCAGTAAAAGCTAGAGTAAATTAATGATTCAAAGCTGTCAATTACATCACAAAATCTTCACCATATATTTGATGAACTAATTTATATTTTACCCTAAAACCAAAGCAGAGGCCATTACATTAGTCTAAGTGGAGTTCAAATAATATTTTGCCTCTGAAAGTCATGGCAGTGGGATTATTGTGTCATTTAAAATTGTCAAGGATAAATAATAAAACAAAGTTTATAACTAGTGTTTAAAGGAACTGATTGTTGAATATATACTATCTAGTAGATATATACAGTATATATTTCCAAGGGTCAGATCCAAAGTAATAAGGGCTATTTTTAGGATGTTTACCACATCAACACAGCAAATATTCTCCAGTATCCTGGCTATTTCTTGCATATTTCTGTTTTCTCATCAAGACAGGGCTGCTTCAGTCCCACCCTCTCTGTGGGGATGGTTTTCTTTGTCTCCATTTTAAGAAAAATGTACCTTATTTGTGCATCACTCAGCTATAGATCCTCAAATCATCTCTGAATTGGTGCTGACACTGTCCTTCCTTCTGGAGGGTGGCTACTTTTGTTTGTCATGGTCCTTGTTGTTGTAAATTAGCCACCACTCCAATCTCACTCCTGTGAAGAACTACAATCTAAAACGATGATTGCGTCCATTGTGCTTCACATTTTACATATCGCCACTAACGTTGGATCGTGAGCAATAATTTTAGTGCCATTAATCATTGATAACACTAAACTGATGAGCAGTAAAAGCTTTTAAATTGGCCAATTTTGGGAGCGGTAGTTTTTTTGCGATTTTGCGGACGCAAGCAATTTCAAAGCTTGACATGTTTGGTGTCTATTTACCCCGTCTTTTATATTTTACCCAAAAAGTGGGGTGATTTTGTTTCATAACATAGCATAGGGAATCAGGTTTTTTGTTCAAAATGTTTGGTACTTTTTTGTTATATAGTAAAAAATAAAAACCCCAGTGGTGATTAAATACCACCAAAAGAAAGCTCTATGTGTCCCCCAAAAATTATATAAAAATAGTTTCAGTACAGCATTGTATGACGGAATAAATGTCAGTCAAAGTACTGCAGAGCTGAATACTGAAAAATGGCCTGGCGTTTTTACCGCGATTCGCGGTAAAAAAACGCGTGACAAACGCCCGTTTCCGAGGGCTACTTGGCTGTATCCCAATGGAAACGCGAGACCAAAACGCCCCAAAGAAGTACATGTACTTCTTTGGGCGTAGGCCGTTTTGTATCGCATTCGTACGGGCGGAAATACGGCAAGGTGTGAACCAGACCCATTGAAAACAATGGGATTTAGATATTTGAGCGTTTTGTAGAGCGTTGGTCGAGCGTTGAACGCGCTACAAAACGTTCAGGTGTGAACCAGGCCTTAGACATTGACCTAGTTTAAGTGCCTTTCTGTTTAGGGCCAGGCTTGCATGGACATATACTCCCAGTGTGTCTTCATTCACACTACTTCTTTAGCATTGACTTCCACAGGAGAACAGATTCTTCCCATTTGTGAGAAAAAACCTGTCTGTCTCCAATCAGACTCGACTGAATTACCTGTTCTAAACTATCAGACACCCTTTCACTGCCAAGGCCACATCTACTCATGTCGCTTACCAGACTTGCATAGTAGCAGACATTGCTTTTGATTAATTCTTCACAGCACAAATACCTGTTTATGGTTACTGTATTTGCAAGAATAATCCATCTCAGTTAGGGGAGGGGGGCACTTTCTCTGTGGGCAATTGGGTTGACTTGCAGCTACTGGATTAGTTGTTATCCACAGCACCTAATCACATTCATAGTTTCATTTGAATGATGAACCCTAATTTGCTGCCAAAGTTTTAAATAATAACTGGAGCACCAATGTAATTTTACATGCTCTGAGTACAGACCTATTCTAATTACTCCAATTATTCCAATTGCTCAGAATAACATCTTCTGAAAGCATCATGTGCAGGGAGAAATGCATTATCAGCACAAACTTTTCAGCAAACACTCATTTGGCTTAAAGGGATTGTATAAAAGTTATTTGAAACTAAAAATATAGCGAGCAAAATATAGCTATTATTTCAGAAGGTTAGTATCAGTTCACAGACTGATTTTTCTTGTTGACTTCATATGATCTTTAAATTAGACATGAAAATTTTGTTTTGTTCCCAATGGATATTTGTATGAATTTAGTTAAATTTGGCTATTTGGATGCATCTAAATTTCCAAATTCATATGCTTCTTGAATGCAAACTAATCTGGATGTTCCATTAACCAAAATTTGGATCTTTCTGAATTTAATTCAAAACTAAACTAAATTGAACATGTGACTGTCCTCTGGCCAATCAGATGTTTTTTTCTTGCTGTTGGGGGTTGCAGTACAAGCACGGTCATGTGACTTCCTGTTGTGATCTTTCCGCAACAAAAATTTTGACGAATACAAAATCCGAAAAACAAACCAAATCGAATTTTAGATCCATAATCCTACAAATAAAAGATATGAAAATTGATACAAAATGAAACAAAGTGAATTTTTAGCGGGGTTACGTGTCTACTTTAAATAGGCAAAATATATGGCTATCCGTAAACAGTTTATCTGCAAAATTCCACTAAAATAGATTTTTTTTCATGAAGCCATAGTAGTTTTGCACCAATGTTCCTCTCTTCTTATGCATGTTTCCATATATTAGGGGAACACACATGTCCTTTTGCATATTTCAATGTACATTACCTAAGGGGGCACATCAGGTAGTACATGTACTATACAGTATGCAGAATGTAGTTGAAGCAGTAGACTTGCCTAATAACAACATATAAACTGTCATTAGCTGAATTAATAATAGCTAATAACAGCTTTGTAGCACATACAATGCACTTGAACTAAGCCCTTTAGTTCACAATAAACAGAAATAGAACACAGATAATGCAGTAAAGTCCTTACTGGTTGCTAATCATACTACAGACCATTAAAGTAGCTTTCTGTGTCCCTTAGCTATTGACTTCATGTTGTGCCAGTTTTATTTCCTTTAA